AGCTGCAGCATCTGTGACGGAGGGGGAGCCGGACGCGGCGTTCTGCATTAACTGCTGTGTCTTATGCGCGTGATGATGTTGCCGTGGCGGCGGTGTTTGCATTATTGATTGTTGTTGATGATTGCTGCCGCTATTATGACCAACGGCCGGTGCTGCGGAGGCGGCGCGCACAGCACGTTGCGGTGGCGTTGGCTCTAAGAATTGTAGTTCAGTGCTAGCCGCGCGCTCAGCATATTTATGCATGTTGAGTGCAGCCGCGGCTGCCGCTTCCGCTTCGGCTTGTTGCTGCTGMGCTTGTGCTTGCGCGTGCGCCTGCTGCTGCTGCAGAAGCGCTTGTTGCTGTTGTTGAAGCGCTTGCTGCTGCTGCTGTTGTTGTTGTTGCTGCTGCTGCTGCTGTTGGTGTTGGTGATGATGTCGCACTGCAGGCACTGGTGGTATTTGTTGCTGCGGCTGCGTATGCGTGCCACCCGGCGCCGATTGTATTGAAGCTGTGCGATTACGCATCGCTTCGCTRGTTGCCGAAGAGCCCGAAGAGCGTTGCTCCATATTACGCTGCACTACWGGCTCTGCAGTCACATAACGCGYATGTGGCACATTCTCATAAATTGGTTCGATAGAACCGTTTAAAGTATTGCGTTGCAATGACGCGTTGGAGGYGTTCACTTGCAACTGCTGCTGTTGATGTGTTTGTGGCTGCGGCACCTGTGGCAGTGGCGCTTGATGTTGCGCCTGCACTGATGGCGATGTTTGCCGGTAAATATTGTTACTGTTGCTGGTGGCTGTGTTTGGTTCTGTGTAGGTGGGTGGCAAAAAGAGATAGTCCTGCCGCAGCTGCGACAGTATGGATGGTTGTTCCTCAATCATATTTAAGTTTTCGAAAGTGCCATGCGGCAAATATGACTGTGAATGACCGATATGCCCGGCGCCCATGTACGAGGAATGCGGTTGTATCAAGGCATGGTTGGTAGCAGCCACGCTTCCAACTGCTTGTGCTGCGCCGACGCTACTGCTATGCACATACGGATACTGTGCATTGGGTAAATTACGATTTGAAACCAGATCCGGCGATGAACCCGACACATATGAACGGTAACCCATGAGCGGCCGATGTKAAGCGACCGCCAAATCGGGTGTGGACGAAGAATTCAAACGGTTGACCGGATACGGTGGCGGCGGTTTGCTGCGCACCATTTGCAGACGATGTCCCAAATCAATATAAGCGCCACCACCACTCACACTATTACTATGACCACCAGGCGCCATTGTAACGCCCGCCGCTGTTAGATGATGATGCTGCGCATGCATAGCGGCGGCGGGTTGCGCTACATCAGGATAGCGGTGCGGCGCTAATTGACTTAGTAGCACACCATCACCGTAAATTGCGGACGCATTGTGTACATCAGGCTGTGAGCCGGCATAATAGATGGCGCCACTAGCGGCCGGCGTGCCAGCCATAGCGACGGCAGAGGCGCTTGACGCCAATTGCGGTTGATAGTTGGCATAACTGTTCATTTGCGGATGATGCAATTCGCTGGCGGGTGTATGATACTTCAGCTGCACTGCAGTTTCATAGTCGGGTGCTGGCCGATATGTAGGCAACATGGCTTTCAGCCGCTCACGCTCGTGCGCGTCCACGGCATGCAGTGCGACATTGCTGCCGTTGTTCGTTACGCTGCCACCCAAATGTCCGTGTACAATATTATTGCTGCTACTGTGGAAAGCGGCGCCACCGCCGATATTATTGGCATTATTATTGCTTAGATCCAGACAGGAGCTACTTTGCTGCAAGCGTGTATCCA